ACACAAAGTTAAAAGCTACAAGGCAGAGCAGCACAGACAGAAGGCTTTAGTGCAAGTGTCATTTTTCTTCTGCACACAAGGGACACGAATACTATTTATGGTTTGAGCATAATGTTCAGTAGATCTTTCACAGTTTTTGGCCACATCTATTAATAGTGACCTCTTTCTTACCAGCCACATTCGCTTTATACTGCTGTGCTCACGAACCGGGACAGTGCAACGCCTTTACACATACTTGCAGATAGATATTTACAGATACAGGACAAGGGGTAACGGGTTTAAACTGAAAGTGGGGAGGTTTAGATTAGATATCAGGAAGAGGTTCTTCCCGGAGAGGGTGCTGAGGCACTGGAACAGGTTGCCCAGAGATGTTGTGGATGCCCCATCCCTGGAAGTGTTCAAGGCCAGGCTGGGTGAGGCTTTGAGCAACCTGGTCTAGTGGAAGGTGTCCCTGCCCATGGCAGGGGGGTTGGAACTGGATGGTCTTTAAGGTCCCTTCCAACCCAAACCATTCTGTGATTCTATGATTGCATCCTTATCTCAGTTTTTCTTTTCTAAGTATTTTTTTTTGGAGTGAGAGATGATGTATTTCAAGCAGTACATATTGAAACAAGCATCTGAGGTAAAGGCACTTCCAGAGGCTAGGGTTAAAAATTGTTACCACTGAAAACTATTAAACACGTGTATCAATAGCATCATGTTTTTACATGATGGAATACCTACACAGGCTGCAAATCTGGGGGACACAGATAGACCCATGAATAATTTCTAGTAAAAGACGAGGATAAGATACATACCATGCTAAGTGTGTGAACTTTGAGTCCACGGAACAGGCTACTACTTCAGTATTTATTGCTCTGAATTCTTCAATTCTGTCACTGAAGGCGATGATCTCGGTCGGGCATACAAACGTACTAGATAATTTAAAACCAGACAACGTCAAAATTTCACGAGACATCCAGTAAATGCTCTGTTTAACTTAAAATGGTGGCTTTATCATAAATGATTTCACCTTTTACTTGTTTTTTCATTGCTTCTTCAAGTATTTAAGCAAAATGCTGCTTCACAAAGCTTCCAGCATCAGACTCTACCTTAGTTATAAACCGTTTATCATTGAAGAAGATTGTAAACCTACAGTTAGCTTACAATCTATATTCAAGTTTTTTTAGTTACTTTCTTTTAGGCTCTATGAGTGGCTGAATTTAAGCATAATATGCCAATTTTTTTCAGAGGAACATACTAAAATTTCTTGTTACCAGGCATGTCTGCAAAGTTTAGCTAGTCTGACTTGAACTTTTTCCACTACAGAAGAAATAAAGTGATAAAGATCACAGTTTCTAGGGCCATGAAGCTAAGGGCCAAGATCTACATTATTTCCTTTATACTGTTATGCTAGTTAGGCATCTCTGCCCCCTTTCCTTCATTTTGTGGAAAAGAATGGGATTATCTAGTAGAAAGCAGAGGTGTTTTCACTCAACCAGTGAAGTTACTGGCATTCTAAATGAAGGAAGGTAATGTTAGATGTTCTTAGGGTGTCCTGGGAAGAACTTAAAGGGAAAATGTCATCTCTTAATGCCCTGTACACACACTGGAAATATACAGATGGGATGCTGTCTTCTGTTTGCAGCAGTGATTTACAGCATCATACAGAACATAAAGGTTGCTGCAGACTGAAAGTTATTTCAGTGGACATGCTTATCGGGACAAAAAATTGTCTTACAATTTTACCAATGATGAAATCATCATTTTACCACGATGAAAACACAAATGCAAAGAACGTATTTTCTTCTGTCGCTCCGTTCTTCTCCCCCAAACCCTTACCAAACAAAAAACCCAAGACCTCAAAAAAAGAGAACAATTAATAAATTACAAGTCTGGTGTAGCTGCACTCAGCCTTGGTATGTCTGTGGTGGTCTTACTTACAAGTCAAGAGGATAGAAGAAGAAGACAAGGTACTTTCCCTCATAATCTGTTAGTTTCAGCTCTTTAAACTCTCCATTAATGACTGCTGTTCCTTCCCAGTAAGGTGCTGGCTTGGAGACTGAAATGCGAAGAACATTAAATGTCAGAACACGAAGCACACCTTCGGAGCAAGCTGTTCATTAGCCAAGTTGTGAGCAAGGGCAACCCTTTTTCCTTTTGCTTGAAAAACCACCTCCTGCACACGGTTACATCGTGAAACTTTCTTACCTTAGAAAAGTTCACAGCTGGCAGAGGTTACACAATGATGAAGAAATGTCGGTTTCAGTACAGGTGGAAAGTAAATAATTTGACCAACTTGTGCTTATACACGAGGCCTTTGAATCCCTGATAATCAAGGCCACACAAACCTTATCTGGGCATGCTGAACTGATCACATGTGCACTACCAGCTCATGGCAGAACACCTGTTAGGCTGAAGGAAAAGCTGTTGCAAGATTTCAGGAACCCTCACTATTTAGCTACAAACAGCTGTTGTGAATCAGGATCCTAAGACGGTTCAAATTCATGCTGCTATTTTTTTTAGCCATAAAGGGAATTCAAGTCTGTCCACAAACAAAATATTTGTTACGACATGTTTAGAGACAAACACTTAAAAACACAGCGTGTATTTATTAGATTACAGGTCCTAAGCAAACAGTAACTTGAAGATAGCTGTGTTAAAAAAATCCAAGTAAAATGCATGAAGTGTGCTTACTGTTTCTGTCAAGAGGGATTAACCTTGAATTGAAAATATTAAAAGTTACTCTGCCAGGTACTGTTTTCATAGTAATGTGAATTCTGAGACAAAGGATAGGTATGCTGGAGATACAAGGTGATCTGAATATACTTGTGGTGTCAAGGACACTGACATACAGCCCCAGGAAACTGGGGAAATGCTGCTGAGAAGAATACAGAGAATCTTAATTATTCTGGATGAGGACTGCGTTGTTGGTCTCTTCTTTTCACAGGGCAACCCACAGCAGTAGAATGTAGTTAGTGAGGATCTACAAGGACTGCAAGCAAAGAACAACCCCCAGTTATCAGTCAGATCGTGCCCCTGAATGGGGCAGCCGTTTGCTTTGGTTTCACTTGACACAACCCACAAGGGACGCAGCAATACAAGTACAGAGAGTCAGTGGGTATGATTGGTAATTTCAGTTGGAATTTTTCTAGGAAAGGCTCTTCTTCCTCTCAAGCCTTCCGCATAATTCTTTCTGACCAGATTTCAAGCTCCAGACTTTTTTTTTTTTAATCGAGTCTGTGCGGGTACGGGGCCGTGTCAAAGGGAGAGCAAACATTAATGTTCACTTTACTTTGAGCCGTCCCCAAGGTTTCAAATGTTGCTCTTTGCAGAACAGCGGCACCCCTAACCTAATCCCTGCAGCAAAACATTGTCTTCAGCTGACCTCCAGATTACTAGGGACAGGGAAAAGAAATTAAAGTAAGATATGTTGTATCCTGGACCATTTTTACATGAAGATGATACTTTTTGGTTTAAAAATACTTGCCTAAAGTGCTGAAACAGCTTAAATTACAAAGGGAGGGAGAAAAAAACCTCCCAAACAAAACCGGTTACACATATTTTGACTGGTTTTCCACCTTTCCCATAGCATCTCAGGGACGGGCGGGCGGGCGGCGTGGCGAAGGACGTCCAACCC